GCACGCGCCTGTGTCTATCGGCGATCAACCCTGGAGCCTGTTTCTGGATTAGGGAGATGCGCGCTCTTTGATCTGCCAACCCCCCCTCATGATTAGGCAGTGTCGCCCTGAATCCTACATCAACAATTAACAGACTAAACGGCCCTCAAAGCCTTTGTGTGTGGCACGCGCCTGAAGGCCAAATATAATCATGTCTGCACAGGATCAGAGGGGACCGCCACTGTTTCGCGACGAGGCGGCTGCCAGTGAGACCGACTCGCTGCTGGAGCGCGGCCAGCGCAAGGCGAAGCGGATCTTTGACGGGTTTGTTGATTTCGCCTTCCAGGGCAATATCCTTCAAATTGCATTTGGTCTGATGTGAGTTTTGTTTGACGGAGATGAAGCCTCCCGCCCCAATCTTGAACCCTTAGGGTGGCTGACGTTGAGGGGGGGCCATCTATAGCATCGCATCCATTTTCACGGACCTGGTCAAGTCATTTGTTGGAGACATCCTCATGCCACCGCTCTCTGTGATCCTTCCCCTGAAGAAGAACATCGAAGAGAAGTTTGCGATCCTGCGGGTCGGAGACACTTACAACAGGACCGCGGGCTACAACACCCTCAAGCAGGCTCAGGATGATGGCGCAGTTGTGATGGCGTATGGGTAAGAGCGCATCCCCTCCTCCCATTCTTCTCTGCGTCGCTGACATTAGGGACGCAGTCTGTTCATATATCAGATCGTGTCGTTCTTTATGATTGGCCTGGCGCTCTATGCCCTGGCCCTTCTTTATACATCCTTCTCATCTGATCCGATCATCAAGCACACCAAGAAGTGTAAATATTGCAGGCAACGTATCAACGAGAAGGTGAGTGAAATCAACTAGATCGGCTCTATTCATAGACTGCTAGATATAAGCTTGCTAACTCTGATGGGTCTTCTAAGTCTATCCGGTGTATTCATTGTACCAGTTGGTTGGATGGCCGGGAAGAACGTGTCCGATTTTAAATCACGGCGGGTTGATGGACAACTGGTTGCGAGGCATCTTATGGAAGGCGTCTGCCACTCTTGAGTTTTTTTGCATGACACTCTGTCGTTTGGTTTAGTTGGCGAGGTTATTTGCTTTTCAGAGGTTACATTGTTTACGCATGTTTGATACTGAGATTATAGCGAGCGGATGTTTCCACACTGTAAAAACCCACTTTGGGGGATCCTTTCATCATTGCATGTCAAGGAAGGTTCAAGCCTCTAGATAGATTTCAAGCGCATATGGAATTCGAGAAGGATGTTCATGAAGAAACTGAAGTTCCTGGAAAAGCGATATCGAGGTGGTACTAGTGACTGGGCACTTCATCTGCCGAAGGGGAGCATCTACCATTTTGGGCACATTGGCTGATGAGGCGACAATGTCATTGGAGCACCTGGGGAAAGACCCTGTCACCTGGTGTGCGCGTATGCCGTTGATAAGATGCAGGCGGTGAGGGAGACACGCAAGTCTTGCAGAGAGAAGAGGGTACGCAGCGTCGCAGCAGAGGGCCGAAAGATAATAACATTCGACATGTTGCCAAGACGGCATTGCGAATGCCGTATGCTGGCCAACCACGACGGAGGCCTGGGAAGCATGGTGTGTGTGTGGCAGTCCGAGATGACCACGCCGAGAGTTACAGACAATGCACTTGGCCTCTTGGCCCTGCGGCTTTATTAGGTTGGCAAGGGCCCTGATCACGCGCCTGGAGAGGAGAGAGAACTTGGAAGAAGCCGCCTCGCAAATGGGGACCAGAGATGAAGGGCGTTAGATTAGCGCGCGTTACCAGCGCCTCCAAAACAGCTGCCAATGACATGGCCTTCTTCCCGGGGATGCAATTCCTGCTAGACTACGGGAATTGCGAGGTCACAGCTGCTTTTACCAGAAGCCGCCATCTCGATCGAGTGCTGGCGTGGGTGAAATGGGTGGGTAAGAGCTCACGCTGCATCCTGCCAAGGCGCCGTCCGCGGATGAACAGCGACAATGCTGGTACACATCCGGGTGTGTCGCCAATGCTGGGCGTAGGAAGGTGTCGTTCCTTGGCCTCTGCTTGGCTGGGCAGATAATGACTGAAAGAGTGGTTCATTCTAATATGGCACGGGCTTGGCAAGGCCGAGAATTCGGAGCCATGTTTCAAATGCAGTGACTCGACCTGCAATCGATAAACCTTCACTCGGGGCATACAGAGTGCCCCCCACGGCTAATTGCTGTCATCTATGGCGGATACCATTGGCTTTAATCTCCAATAGCACCGTGGTCTAGGTAGCAGTACCTGGGGAGTACCTGGGCGTACCTCAGTGGTGCCGATGGCTCTCCCAACTAGGGAAGTCATTCGCAAGTACTGCATACCCCTGGCCCATCATCAACCAAGATGCTCGTGCGTCTCCAGAACGGATTAGCAGCAGCCTTGGCCTGGAAATCAACCTCGATACCGGCGAACCATGGTTTGTCCAGCGTACGGGTAAACTGGTCATGTTGAGGACTGACGAAGACTCGACGACGGCCAATGCAGGTACGCGACTGTCTCAGTTGAAGCAGACCGCTCCTCGAAACCAGACTCAGGAAGCAGAAGGGAGAGGAGTGGCAACCGGCGACGACGAAAAGAGGTGCATTTTTCAGAGGCTCTTGGCCCCAAGGACAAGGGTCTTGGCATTCTAACCATGTGGTGATGGCGAGCTTGGCAGCTCCAGTCCTTCATTGCAACATTCTCCCGCCCAGCCTTGGCATTCTTCGTCGGACGCCAGTTCATAGCCTGCCTCCCATCCAAGGTGAGAGACGTAAAAAAACCTCCAGTAGAGATTAGCTCCCTTGCCGAGCCGTTGTCCTCCCTCCCTTCCTCCCATTTAAACCTACCGACATGCCCCCAACGTCTCCCCCACGATTGCTTCCCTTGTCCTGAGTGATGATGTCTTTGCGTACGCGCTGAACCCCGTCCATTCCGACCGACTCTGTCTGCGACATTCTGCGCGATCTCATCTCAAGCCCGCCCTGGGTTTCTCGAGGCGCCCTCGACTGCTCCTCGGGCCTCCCAACACACAACAAGCCGAGTCGAGATCCGAGGGAGTCTTCTGTCGCCCCAATTCTCCCGCGTGGCATATCAGAGTCTATTTTCATTCTCTTTTTGTTACTTGGATCGCCAATCGAACCGCTGCCGGTTCGTTATTGGCGATTGAACAACGATCGGCAGAAAAGATGGGGACGTGCCGCTCCACGATATCGCAAACCACAACAACACCGGCACATCTTCTACTCTTGCGGATACTATTACTATGTTCTCTGTGCGCAGCTACCAAGACGACGTCTGCCCGGGCGGCTACCATCACAGCAGCCCCCATATTCCTTCCCCATTATGATCGAGAATCATGGTCAATGGTCCGCGGCAGCATCATGGGCATTGTATGTTGGATCCCCTCCCTTTTCTCGACCACTCCTCCTGTACCATTGATGATCGGCGCTGACCAATTGTGCTTGTCCCACAGAATGAAACGGCTAGCGAGACGACATACACAATCTTCTGCCCGTCCTCCGAGACCGAGACCAGGCCTGCATGTGGCCTGGCCCTCGACTTCCCATTCATTATCGTAGGCGGGCCGGACACCATCATGTTCCACGGCACTGTCACCTCCATGCTGTACGTCCCCCGGCGTCCCGTTTCCGGCGGAAACTCTGTGTAACTTGGTTCTAACAAATGTATTGCGTTTAGGACCGCCAATCTCGAATGCGACCTCGACGACACCACGGCTGCCACCTGCTCCGGCTATACAAGCTTCAAGCCCAACTACTACTCAAACCGATATTCTTCAGGGGTCACGGAGACATCGTGGACCTCGACCGTGTCGGGGACTGCCGTCCAATGGGGCACGCTGACAATGGCAGCCGTGCCAACCTCGAAGAAGGAACCCCTCGACGTCTCCCTCACCGTCTCAGCTGGGTTTGGGTCCTCTCCGGGCGATTCGAACTATGCAACATCACCATCTAAGAAAGGGCATGGTGCCACGCTGCGGGTGGACTTGCGCCTGTCGGCACTGGCTGGGCTGTCTATCCTCCTCGTCGCCGGTTATCTATGGTGAAAAATGTGTGATGTTTCTCATTGGGGTGGGATTACCTTGCCCGCCTCAAATGCCAGCCCGTATCTATAGATGGAGCTCGGGGGAGAGATATCGACAACTTCTGTGCTCGATCGATCACTCAGTATTCGAGAGGTGTCGCCGTTCAGGGACCAGCACCGTTACTGGTCTCAGTCTCGGCTTCTTACAATTACTAGCTTTGATTTTTTTGTTATGATGGGAAAGCATGGGTGAACAACTATACCCCCTGGTTATGATGAATTTTTGTATTGGGAAGACATTGGTCATGGCGTTTGTGGAGTATTGAGAGCATATGACTGGCCGTTGAGTAACTGGCAACTGTCGTTTTATCATCCATTTTTATGAGCCCTCAGTGGGCGGTTAGGAATAGGTCTCTCTGTTGTTGTGTGTGTTTCGCTACAGGAGTATAGTACAACAAGGCTCGGGTCAGCAGGACCCGATGCTGTAAGCAGAGAGGTTGAATCAGAATAACAAATCACTTGTTAAACTCAGAAAACGATGTGTCAGCCGCATTGTCGGGTAGATTGAGTGAGATTGGGCGGGGCATTGGAGTCTTGTACAAGGCCGGAGAGAAAACGGCGTCGGTTGGCGATGATATAGTAGGATTGGACTGACTAATGGTTACGTTGGTGACATGTGCAACCTGTTTTGAGCTGTGCAGCGTTGACCCTGGACCTTCCCTTTCCATGAGAAATGCAGTATATGCCACGGGCTGGTGACCTGATCGGCACTTCTAAAATACCAGATGGGCAGGTTTCTTTCTGTTCGTCCTGCTCGCCACCTGCGAATGGAGACCTTCCACCTTCACTTCTGGGAGATGTCCAGAACAGGGAGCCGCGGAGAAAAGTGACGACACACAATGCACATGATATTCTGCCCGTCTCCGAAAATAGAGCGGGCCGATGCCAAAATGCAGACATCAGAACCTTCATTTCGATTACTGGGCCCTCTCCTCCCCGCTGGCGCGTCCCTCGAGAGACAGACAAATGCGCATCCCCAGGTACCTACCAACTTCGGTAGGTGAGCGGTGCTTTCTGCCATGCAGCCAGTTTCAGAAACCTACCGTGGCGCCGATACAGCCCGTCTACGTTTTTCGACGACATCGAGTGTTTAAAAACCCGTCTCTCCCCTCGGCAAAACCAATAGACGCTACTGAGCGACTGTCTCACTGCAAATGTGACCTGACTGACCTATGTAGTGAGCAACGGGCGGGCAGCGACTGGCTGGCGGGCAAGACCTGCTGCATTCACTGTAGGCGCGCGGAACCAGGTGAAACGGCACCTGGACATGCATGACGGCAGTCTAGTGCCGGGATTGGACGACAGCGGTGGGTGGCCCCCTGATGCTGGTGGGATGGGATGGGATGAGACCCCGGGTTTTGGCTGGTTCCTGGCGATCGCAGTCCACTCGTCAAATGTGAAGCACTGAAGGATGGGACCCAGGGGCTGCCCGACAGGCGAAACGCCAGACCACCCTTATTTCTGCATTAGCATGACCTGCTACCTCCTTGTTTAGGTAGTCAAACAACGAATGATGGCTATGCTGGCCGACTGGGGCCACTGTCAAGAGACGCCATGGCCGCCTCTCGAGACTTATGAGGACCCTCCGCCTTCTCTATTGCGTTTCTGATTCCTTTGCACTCTGCACGTTTGCTTTGCACTTTGTTTGTTCTCTTTTTTTCGTCGAATCCCTAACCCTGAGTGAATGGGATTCACGTCCGATTAAGGCAGGCATCCTTATCCTTCGTTCTATTGTTCTTCCGCTTGACGCCTCCTATTGTCCGATCCGAGGCCATTGTTCGCATAACAGGCAGCGTGCTTCCATCCTACCGTTGTCCCGTGTCTTAGATTTCTTGTTTGGCTGTTCGAGATTCTTTTTTTCGTCTTGACAACACTCGGGCTGGAATCCCTCGTTTTTGTTTCAGGGCCGCTTCCATTCACTCATTGATTCATTTCCTCTAAGACCTCTCTTCGGAGCGCAGTTTTCAACCTCGCCACGAGCCAAGAACAACGCTCACTTTTTTTGGATTCTACGTTTATCGACTTTTTCTTTCTCGGAGACAGACAACATGCGTTTTACTCAGGTTTTTCCTGCCACAGTAGTGGCTTCTTCCGCCGCTCAAGGGGTAGTTGCTCCGAAGGATCTGGATATCACCAGTGCCTGTACGTGTTGCACCCTCCATCTATGGAAGAACATTTGGCTAACTAAATATAGATTCTGTTCGTAATGTGGCTGCCACCATTGTTCATGATGCAATGACCTACTACACAGGCAATACCTCGTCTGTCCCCAATGTATGACTGATCACATCCCAGAAGATCTCAAATGTCTTGATACTGACCAAGGTTAACAAAAACAGGAAGTTGGAGATCTCCATGACCCATACTACTGGTGGGTAGCTGGTGCCCTCTGGGGTTCCTTGTTGGACTACTATCACTACACCAAGGACCCAACATACAACGACGTTGTTATTCAGGCCCTTCTAGCACCAACAAACATTGGACCCAACTTTGATTACATGCCGGCCGAGCATGCTTTTGAGGAAGGAAATGACGACCTCTACTTTTGGGGCTCTGCTGCTTTGGCCGCCGCGGAGAGGAACTTCCCCCAACCCGACGAAGCCATCCCGTCATGGCTCGAGATTGGTGCCAATGTGTTCAACTCGCTCCAAGGCCGATGGAACATGACCCACTGCGGCGGTGGACTCAACTGGCAAATCTTTGCGGACAACCCGAACGGCATGAACTACAAGAACTCGGTTAGTAACGGAGGGTTCTTCCAGCTTGCCGCTCGTCTTGCCCGAGCCACCGGAAACGCTACTTATCTTGAATGGGCAGAGAAGGCTTGGAACTGGTCGTTTGATATAGGATTCATCGACCCCGAAAGCTACCATGTCTATGATGGAACCGATTCCGCCAACAACTGCAGTGATGTTAACAAGATCTCCTATACCTACACCAGCGGAATCTATCTTCATGGAGCAGCCGTCCTCGCCAACTACACCAACGATGCCAAGTGGGCCGAGCGAACAACCAAGCTTCTGGACGGAGCCAAGTGGTTTTTTGGACCATACGAGAACGCCACTGATATCATGTACGAAGGTGCCTGCGAAACCGTCGAGAGGTGCAACGCCGATATGGACACCCACAAGGCCTTCCTCTCACGCAACATGTGGCAGGCAACCACCATGCAGGCTTCTCTGCAACCTGAGGTCGAGAGGCTCCTGGGGGCCTCGGCCAAGGCCGCTGCCCTTAGCTGCAGTGGCGGTGACAGTGGTACTGTCTGTGGAAGGAAGTGGTACGTCGGTGGCTATGACGGCGCCCCAGGTCTCGGACAGCAAATGACTGCTCTCGAGACGATTCAGGGATGGCTCATTCACGAGGCCGAGCCACCATTCTCGGGAGATGCGATCCAGATCGTGCGGGATACGAACTGGGCGCCTGTGGACCCATACCGACCTGACTCTGCCTAGAGGGCAGGGCTGAGTTGTCCCAGAGTCCCGTCAGCATAGTCGTTGGAATAATGGCAATAGACTCAGAAATGAGATATCTGATAGACAGGTTTTCTCATCTTGTATATAGCTGTGATTCTGTATGCCCTTTATTTCTGTAAACTGTCACGATTAATTAAGCCTAGAGTCATATTGAAACTATCAATACCCCCAGTATTACCAAGAGTGTAACCAAGCTTATTTGAGACTTTCCTAAGCTTACTAAGTTCCAGTTCCCCCTCTGGGAGTGAAGCTGGTGATACATATGAATGATGAAAATAATGAGCGCAACCTAGTTGAGAGCACATGCATATAACATCAAATGGCAAGGTTGTGTAGCCTCAATAGATCTGTATTGGTTTCTCCCCCTAATATCTATGGGCTATTATAATCCTTATTAAGTAAATTTCTAAGGAGCGACTCGAATCTTTCATCAAGTATCAGTCTCGGCGCAAATATAAAAACTCCAAATCCTTCCGTAACAACTTCATAGACTGTCAAGTCAATCATCATGGGGGCCTGGCCAGAAGCGTCCCCGTTGGTATCATTCTTTAGAGTGGACAAAGGAATGAATTCGAAAAGAGAAAAATGATAAAGAAGAAGAAAGGAAAAAAAAGAAAAAAAGGCAACAGGGCATGGTAAAATTCAGCCCTGAAAATGAGAAAAAGGAAGAGGACCACTTGAAAGGGGTAAGAAAAAGAAGAAGAAGAAGAAGAGAAAAAAGGCCAAAAAAAAGGCAAGGATAATCGAAGGCTTGAAAGAAAGCAAAAGAAAGCAAGGCAAAGTGCCACCACCGCGCGCCGCTGTATTTCCGCAGACAAGAGAGAAAGAAAATTCGATCTTTTTGACAAAGTCACCAGCCACTCATTCCCCTGGCTTGAGCGTTCCAAATCTATAGGTTGAGGGAGCCGTTTTTTTAGATCTTGGACCGCGAGACGTATCGAGGGCCGAGCCGGTCTTGCTTCCGGATCATGTGGAAGCGCGTGGCCCAGAAGACCATGGCGACGAGCATGACGACGGCGGCGACCCAGCTGATGATGAGGAAGGGGTTGCCCTTCACGATGGTGACGCCGATCTTCTCGGAGAGGTTGTTGAACTCGTTGACGCCCTTGGTGACGGTCACGGTGATGAGGATGCTGGCGATGATGAGCACGAGCGTGGCGAGCGTGGCGAGGAGGAGGTTCCCGACGGCGACCAGCTTGTTCTCCGGGAGGAGGATGGCGGCGACGCAGAGGATTGTCGCGAGGCCGCCGAAGCCTATGCCCAGGACGTAGAGGACGAACAGGCCCAGGAGGACCTTGTTGACGATGTCGAGCTTGTCCTGCATGGTCTCGTCCCAGCCCAGGTCTGCAATGTTGATGTCAAAGGGGCCGACGCCGAGTTCCTTGTCCATCAGTGCGGTCATGTTGAGGCGGACTGCATTTTTGTTAGTGACAAATTTACACGAGAAGGAGAGGAATAAGAGGAAGTTTTCACATACACCCGGCTTCGGAGGTGGTGCAGTTGGTGAGGTTGAGCGACGCGCTCGAGACGGTTGAGTTTGGGGAGTAGTTGCCCTCGCAGGCGCCCATGACATGGATAGAGTACCACTCGGAAATGCCGATGCTTTCGGCAACGTCTCCGGCGACATCTCCAACCACATCGTTGATCTTCTCTGTCACGTCCTGCTTGGCATCGTTCCACTTGTCCTTGATCGAGTCCAGGAAACCGCCATCGTCGTCACTGTTTGAGCTGTTATTGCTGCTGCTGGACTTGATGACATCGTAGCCTATGCGTGAGACATTGAGCTATGAAGGAGAAAATCATTGGTTAGCCAACTGATCGTTTGTAGCTCGTTGGTTGGGAGATATAATGACAGTCTGGCCCAGGGGGGGCGGTGACTTGATGCTAGTGGGGGGGGGGGGGGGGGGGGACTCACTCTTGCAATAGCATAGTCTTCCATGAAACCTTGCTTGTGGCCAGCAAATAGAGACAACGCTGACAGGATCGTGCCCACAATGGACAGGATCAGCGGGATGAGAACGATTAGTCTGTGGAGGAGGGCCATTGTGGATGAGCACTCGGTGTTTTCTTGTTTGGCTTTTTTTCTTTATGGGTTGTAGTGATGAGAAGAGAAGGGTCGAAGCATGAGACTCTTCTTCTTCTTCTTTAGATTGGCTTTAGAAAAAATAAGAGTTGTAACGGTCGAGGATAAGGCAGAGGCCCTGGGACGGGGGAGAGGAGGAAGAGAGGGAGACGGGCACAGCAGCCTAATAAGTAACTGAATCAATGAACGACTTTCCCTCAATGCTCATGCTTGAGGAAGAAAGAAGAGGAAGGGGACAAAGAGACGGAGGGAGTGGCGGTGCATTAATGTATCATTCACGAACTATATCACAGTCAACCGTATGGCTGCCCAAGCTTGCTATCAGCAAACAATGCTAATAATAATTACACGCCAACATTCTCCCTCCCACATTCACTACGTAAAGGCACAGAAATAAAGTAGCGCTACTTGGGCTAGTCCGGGCCCGAACAGGAACTGAACCTTGTCGGCGATGAACAAAACAAGATGGAAGAGGCATCCAACTGGGAGTTGGCAACAGCCGGGTTGCGGGTATGATGTAAGCGCCACACATGAAAGGATACCAAAGGCCAAGTAACCCCTGCATCTGAGTCTGGATGTGTCGTCAACGGGTGGCCCAGCGCCAATCACTAGACGCAGGGGTCGATGTTCTGGTACCAGCCACGAAGATCGGCCATGATTGGGCCAGAGCATCTCCGTCCGCCAAGGCCCCCGGACGGCGGTTGCGTCATGGCTCGTGCGAGTGCGCTTGAGAACGCAGCGGGAGCCGAAGTGCCGTCCAAAGTCCTTTATCGCGGATCCTGCTCGGCATCGGCCTGCCGCCGGGGGACAAAAATAGCCAAAGTTCTGCTCTAGGCGGCTATATATAATAAAGTTATTATTTTATTTCTATTCTCATTTCTTCAAGGTGGGCTTGTATTACTGTCTTAATCCCCACGCGGCCAACTCCCGATTCACACGTGTGTATGTACTGTATGTCCGGGTAGGGTTTGTTGGAGCACAAGTGTCTGAGCTGTCACAAACTAACCGCCTGAAGATGAGGAGAGGATAAGGCACCAATGGGGACCGTGACTCATGCGCTGCTTTGTTGGCCTGGGAGCCAATCATCCACTGCCGGGGCAGGTCACTGATTGCAATGCAAGGCTGGCCCTATGCATCCAGATGTTATACCGCCGCCCTGCATCGATTCAAGGCGTTTGAACAATGCCCTCATGTTCCGTGTGAGTGCCCACCGTATAGCAATGGTTTCTCTTAGGACATATCTTCTCTGGATTGGATGATTCAGCCATCACTTGGACAATTGATGTGCCTACCTTGCTCAAGAATCTGTCGATAATCTCAACACCAGTCTGTAGATTGAACACGATGGTAGTATTTCTCGAAAATTTGCACTAGATACCACTTGCAAAGCTTCCGTAATTCTTAGGGGCTGGAGGCCACATATCCATAGTGTTGATGATGTATGGGTGTGTTGCCCCGTCTGGTGGGGTGACATCTCCTTAGATTATAGTCATTGGATAGCTGAGGTCCTGAGTCGGTCGATCTCGCAATTGTCGAAGACACCCCCTCCTCCTCGCGCTCCTTGTCAATTGCGAGAATGGTTTGTCTCATCCCGAGAAACAAGGAGAGAGCTGCGAACCCGCAAACGGCTGTGGAACATGCATATGTATGCAGGCGACCGATCTAGACGCCAGGTCAAGCCAACCAGTGGCTGAATCAGAAGCTGGAAAGTGTGGAGGTTTGCTGTCTGTCAATCAAATGATGCATCCCACCAACCCATCTCCATCTCCAAGTTCCTGGAGTAGGTCTGCAGATCAGCGAATCACCAAAACCTTGGCCGCCCCACGACCCACGGCGATGGTACGGTTGGTCCCAGACAAGAATAAAGAGGCGCCCTACCAAGGAATTTAATCCGCCCTGGATTGTTGCCAGACACTCAATTCAAGTCCACGCGCAAAGGACAGGGCAGCCCCTCCTCTTGCCTCCGTGAGACAAAGATGGTTGTTTCTGAGTCTCCAATGGCCATATGATCCGGCGCCAAGTCCTGATTTGCCGTCCCCCCCACCGATCACGCGGAGAAGATCAAAGATGACAGTATCAGACCTAAGGCCCTGATCAGAACATATCGCGGCCATCATATGATGCCTTCGCGCCGTCAGCCCGCTGGTAGATGGGGATTTGGAATTCCGGCCCAATGAGAATGGCTGGGTCTGCCCATGATGGCTCTTGATGTCTCGTGGGCGGAGGGGAGCGGTGTGAGCGTGAGGGGGGATTTCTGTGCATTATTCATGAGCATCGGGAAATTTCCTCTGGGTACACGAGCCTTGGGCGGTTCAGAGAGGGCACGCTTGTCACCGAAATGACGTCGCTGAGGGCAGATGGCCTTGGCAAGTGAGGCCGCTGCTGCTGCACCCCGCCGCCTGCTGAATCAGGCGCTCTGCCACTGGAGCAGGCGCTACGGGGCAGCCCCTCCACTGGGGAACAGGCGCTACCGATGTAGGAAGCCCACCGGCGCACCCACCGAATTCTAGCAAGGCCAGCCACTAATCAGGCCTCCCACCCCGCTGGCAGCCGCTGATTGTGCTGGAAGAGCGCTGATAAGACGCCTTGGCCAGGGATCCCCCGGCAAGGGTTGTCCTCTTTCTCTTTCCGTTTGTTTGTGTATCGTCTTTTGTCTCCTCCACCTCGTCCCATCCCACGGTCCTGGGCGGAAGGGTCACAAAGGGACACCAGTGAAGAGTAGAAGACGAGCCAGCTCATCGACCGCTTCCCAACTCTATCACCACCCTTCCGTCATTCGGCCCTCAGAATAAGGTACCTCCTTTGGGGCGCGACTGTATTCTGCGACCAGACTGTGACACAGCCTCCCAACCGAAAAGGAGCGACGACTCACGATGACATTTTCTCTACGCCACCTCTCACCAGAAGCACGAAGACTGGCCGTGCGATAAGCCCATCAACCTCTCTCTCCATCTCGAGATCATCCCCACGTCCCTGGCTTTTCGCGACCCGGATCGATCTGTGGGAAGAAAAGCAGAAGGCTATTTCCACTGGACCATACTTTAAATATAAGACGACCAACGTCCCCGTTATTTTCCCTTTGAAAGAAAAGAAGAGAAGAAAAATTCCGAGTTACATTCATCCCACCCACAATGTCGTCCCTCGAGGCCAAGATTGTGGTCCTCGGGTCGCAGGGTGTCGGTAAGACGTCGCTCGTCATGCGCTATTGCAAAGGCGAATTCAACCCAGCCCAAATCACATCCACCGTGGGCGCGAGCTTCCAGCCCAAGCGTGTCGTTGACACTGATACTGATACGACCGTCCGTCTTCAGATTTGGGATACAGGTACGTCAACTCGTCTCTTCTCCTTAACCTGCTCCTCTCCTTTCATCCCTTTCTTATTGCACCGCATGACAAGATTACGATGATTCACAATGCTGACCGTGCATTTGCGCTCGTGTTACACAGCTGGCCAGGAGCGTTTTCGTTCAATTTCGAGACTTTATTATCGTGGCGCAAATGCCTGCATCCTTTGCTACAGCATCACAGATGCGCAATCATTTGCCGAAATGGGCGTTTGGCTCACCGAACTCCGCCGAAACCTACCCCACGACGTTGTCCTGCACGTTGTAGGCACTAAGGCCGATATCGTCACCCGCGACCCGTCAGCCCGCCAGGTCCCGTTCGAGCGCTGCATCGCCTATGTCGCCGAGAACCTTGCCCCTGGTGTTGGCAACACCCCGCCACCGACCGCTGTCGCGACTCCCATGGTCGGGTTTCCTGCCACCTCGCCCTCCGCGTCTACCGGTGCCATTCCCTCATCCAGCGCAGACCCCCACAGCCCTAGTTCTAAGCGCAGCTCGGGCTTCTGGGGCCAGGAAGTTGGATGGGATGCATGCCATGAGGTCAGTGCTGAGAGCGGCGAGGGTGTGGAGGAGGTCTTTCGAGTCGTGACCCGGAAGCTTGTTGAACAAAATCGCAAGATTCAGCAGGCGCTGCTGGCAGCTACTACTACCCCGGCGACACCTGGCTATGATTCTGGTCTCGACGGGGGCTATTTCGAGGGTATGGCTGGCAGGGGAAGCTTTCGAGTCGGCCGAGACAGGAGGAGCTGGCTCTTCTCCCCTGGGTTTTCTCCTGCCATCACGGTTGACCAGCCGGGTGTCAGTCAGGACCAAACACAACAGCAAGGCCCCGCGAAACCGCCCAAGAAGTGTTGCTAAGATCGGCACTACATACTTGCACGCAAGCGGTGGCCGATATACTTGGCTGCCTTGAGTTGCTTACTCATATTCTCATATTTCTCCGGAGACTCTTTGAGCTTGATTCTGCTCCCTTTCCCTCTTTTCCAACTTTCCGTTTACCCGAACCGCTCTCTTGTCCTTTTCTTGACATTTTCTTCTTCGTTTCTCCATCACTCTCAGTTTTCTTCCACCATTTCCTTTCTCTTCGGAGATCATTCTGGGATTTGGCCTTAGAATGTGTATCTGCAAAGAGCCTTTACTGTTTGCATTCTGCAGGCGTTGGGGGAGTTTGAGTCTTTTCACTCTCTTCGGAAGTCATGATCATGATGATTTATCACCGCACATTTGGCATCATGAGGCGCACAGGGGCTCTCATTTCGGCGGCAGCTTCTTGGTTTGATCATGTAATACTGGATTAGTGTATCATGTCGTTGATGTCCCTACCTTTCTTTCGCACTTTGCAACTCTTGTCATTCGTATCCGCTAGCAGGCCGTCTTCTCGTGAAAGCTTTCTACATTTTCTTTGTACTCAGATAGGGCCTGCTTCGGTTCACATAGCATAGACTATTTATCTCACTTCCACGTACATGCAATCCACGTTTGCCGTGCCCTCAGTGCTACTTGTCCCCCTTCCGGCCCACATCATCATCCACCTGCGGCCGTGCAGGAATGTCCACCCCTAGGATGCGATGCTCTAGACCAATGTACGAATCACTCACTACAATGACGTCCAGTTTCCTTCCCTCGGCATCATCCGACTCCGCCAGCTTGATCGTCGTCTGAGCGCTGGGCCGGCTACCCGCCTGCAACTTCTTCCCACCCTTGGCGGGCCAGGCCGCGCGCTTGACAGCGATGACCTCGTCCTTCGCCACGTCCGCGACGACGACGAACCACCCTTCCGTCTGGGGCTTGGGGAACTTGGGGGCCCAGACGCGGGCGTCCCGCTCGACGAGGGGGTTGATGCGCTTGACGCCCACGCTCAGCGACGAGGACGTGACGCCGCTGACGGAGAGCTCGATGTTGGGCAGTATCGAGACGGCTCGGGAGAACCGGCCCACCTGCTGGCTCGCGACGCCGAGGGACCTGGCTAGCTGCTTGACCTTGGGCGGGTCGAGGGCGCTGATGGCGGCGAGGGGGGTGGTGTCCTTTATCGAGTCGCTGACGCCCGGGAGGACGGACGCGGGGGGGTCGGTCGGCCAGCGGGCGGACTTGATGCACTGGAGCAGGCCGATCATGCGCAGGCAGCTGGACAGGTGGCCGAGCTCGGTGAGGACGTCGATGGACGCCTGGACGATGCGGATGGCCTGGTCGAGCACGCTGGTCTGGTCGCCGACGTAGTCCGCGATGGGCAGGTCGATGCGGGACATGTGCGCCTGCAGGAGGAGGAAGGCCTTGACGTGCGCGTCCCACATGGGCAGCCCGAACGAGTGGCCTGGGAAGGGGAGGTGGTCCGACAGGGTGTCGTTGACGAGGTCCTCGTTGTGGCGCACGGGGAGCTCGTCGTACTCGGTCGCGCGGGACATCCAGGAGAGCACGTCGAGGAAGCTGGCGTTGGGCTTCGCCTTGCGGACGAGGTGGCGGATGGTCTTGTGCGAGAGGTAGTAGTAGCTCATGATCTTCCCGAGCGGCGTGGGGTCGACGTCGCCGTTGGGGAAGACCTCGATACACTTGGACTGGCTCAGCTCCCCGAGAGATTTGTTGACCAGCTCGACCATATACTCGTTGGCCAGTTGCTGTGCTGCAATGGTGCTGTGCTCCGCGGCGGAGATTTCCAGGCCATAGTATGAGGGGTTCTTGTGCAGTCTGCGGAAGAAGAAGGTCCAGGTCAGATAGTCCAATGCATCCTGCGTGTTGAGGATGGTTTCGGCGGAGATTTCGGCACCCAAATGGTTGTCGAGAACTTTATGAAGTGAAGACTCGACAGGAAATCCGGTATGCAGGAAATGCTTGTAAAAGTCCTTCTTAGCATCTTGGGTGAAGATGCGGGCTACACCCGAGTTGTCGAACTGTGGGCGGCCTGCACGACCCAGCATCTGCAGAACATCCGTCAAGTCCATGTCTCTGTACGCTTCAATCTTAGCATCGAAGAACTGCGTCCCCTTGACGACGACAAGGTGGGCGGGAAGGTTGACGCCCCAGGCCAGAGTACTTGTGGCCACAAGGATCTGAATCTTGTTGTTCAAGAACAGCTCCTCGGCCAGCTGGCGATCGGATTCGACCAGACCAGCGTGGTGAAGTCCAATACCAAAGTTGATGGCCTCCTTCAGCGCATCATCCTTGGCTCTTGCGAGATTGAGCTGGAGGTCGTCCTCATCCATGTGAAGGAAGCGACGGGGATCATCCTCCATGCCACAGAGATTAATAAGATCCTTGGCTGTAAGGCGAGTCTGTCGCCGAGATGCCACGAAGACGATGACAGGCTTGGTTGGGCTGTGATTCTTGATGGCAAGGAAGGTTGGCCGGTTCATAGACTGCATAAGTGGGCAGAAACCCCTTGTCTCTGGAAAACCATCGATATAAAGTTCTAGTGGAACAGGGCGCACCGAGTGCTTGAAGTTGAAGAGGCCCTCCTTGACGCCCAGCCAACTGGCTAAATCAGTAGCGTTTGCGCATGCTGTGGACATGCCGAGGAGCCGAACAGCGTTCTTGGTGGACGACGCAATATAATTCATTCGAGAGACGATGATTTCCAGGATGGGACCACGATCACCAGCAAGGAGGTGGATTTCGTCAATGATGACCAAGCTGACTTGACGCACATATCCTCTGGTTTGCCACGAACGAGATATTCCGTCCCATTTCTCTGGCGTGGTGATGATAACATCGGCATCCTTGATTGTACGGGTGTCGGGTGTGTTGTCTCCGGTAAGCTCTACGAGCTTCAATCCAAGAGGGCCAGCCAGCCTCGCGCCCCAATCCTTTACCCTCTCTCTGACCAGCGCCTTCATGGGCGCAATGTATACAACTTTGGACCCTGGGCGCTCGCGGAATGCCCACCACATAGCCAACTCAGCGGCAACAGTCTTGCCAGAACCGGTAGGGGACCCCAGAAGAACATTCGCTGCAGTGTTGTAGAGTGTGTGGAAGACCTGTGTCTGCATTGGGTTGAAGAACTGGAAGCGCTTCTGGTAGAGCTCTTCTAAGCCTGGATTCTTCAGAGCTGAGACGGGAAGTGGCTGCAAATTCAGCAACTCTGTGTAGACACTCTCAGTATCGGGCCTGATCAGATGCTGAAACGAGACCGGAGTGACCGTCTCTGCTCCAAGCCATCGGTCTGAGACTGCTCGGACATAGATTTGGGTTGGCAGAGGATCAGACAAGGGAATCGTAAAGTTGAGTTCATGCTCGTCATGAAGTTTCCTACGGTTGAGGATGAAAAACTCATGATGATAGATTTCTGAAGTCTCCGAGTTCTCAACCCATATGTAGAAGGACTCCGACGTACCATGGAAAGAATCCTTCCACTGGAAATCGGGGATCACGTAAAGCTTTATCCGAAGCACGTCCCTGTTCAATGGGGCAATCTCTGCCTCTACGTGGACAGTAGGGAAGTGGCTCAAGATCCGTGCTACATTCTTTCCAGCGCCGTGATTGTTGATGAGGGCACCAATTTCTGCGGGGTCCATCTCCTTCATCGCCTCTATGGTCAAGTGCTCCTTGGAGTCGAGCTGCTTCAGAATAGGTCTAGCGAGGTCGAATTGATGCATCGGATGCTGGAATGGCCATATCCTCTTTTCAATAGACTTGGCCAATGTTAATAGTACAAGGCACTGGTGACCCCATCTCCGATTCAAGGCGAGCATAAACAGCGCGCGACAGATGCGGCCAGACTGTTGCGCCACGTAGTTCATGTCATTGGTAAGAGCAAAGTCTTCTGGCTGCTCTCGCGAAATGTAAGACTGCAGGAGAATGTTGGTCTTGGCCTGGGGGGTGTCTATTCCTCCCTCGACGGCGCAAGGAACAACATCATCCTTCAGGTGAACCAGCTCCTTGGACTCGGAATCTCTAGATTGGACGTTGTCAAACTCTCCACTCATGCTTATCATCCTGAGCACATCGGCTTCAGTTGCCTGAGGCTTCATCATTGTGTTGAAGACCTGAATACTGGTATGCAGAATATAATACTGGCTCGCAATCCGACCAATATCCTTGCTGCGCAGTTCCTCTGTCCTCTCATTGAAGATGATCATTTGGCACTGTTGTAGGGTACGAGCAGCTTGAATAGCGAGCTGACGACGCCTCTGGACCAAGGTTGGGTCATCGCGAATCTCCGCCCATTCTATGCCATATGTCAAAGGATTCTTTCGCATCCGCACGAAGAGGTACGAGTATCCTATCCACTGCACAGCCTCCTGGATCGATGTAACAGTTCCAAGCGAGATTTCGGCGTTCAAGTTATCCACAAGCTTGGTGGAAAACTTGGATTCGATAGGCTGCTGTTCCGTCACAGCAGCCAAGTAGTGGGCGAGCTTATCCTGGGTTGTGCAAATCATTCCGATACCGGTGTCCTCGAATTGGGGACGACCAGCACGTCCGAAAATCTGCAGCACATCCAAAATGCCGAGATCAACAAACTTGCCATCCTGAGCACTGTACACTTGGGTGCCCTTGATGACTACTGCTGCAGCTGGCAAGTTGACACCCCATGCCAGAGTCGCCGTACAGCAGAGAACCTTGATGACGCCTTCACCAAAGAGCCGCTCCATCAGATTTCTATCGGCTCTTGCCATACCGGCATGATGTATGCCGATACCTTTCTGAAGCAACTCACGAATCTCCTTGGACCTGGAAGTTTTCATGTCTCTTACTGCGCGGTCATAGCCAGGGTGTCCAACGGGATCCAAGAGTTCCGTGCAGAATGCCTCGATGGCCTTGGCATGGATCATCTTGGCAGTGAGCATAGTGTCTCTGCGCGAGTGCACAAATACCATGACCTGGTGGTCTCGCTCCAACATCTCCTTAACCTTGTCAAACGCAACGTTGTCAAGGTTCTCCTTGGATTGCTTGCTTCCTGCTTTGCCTTTGACCCCGATAAAGTGCTGTTCCAGAGGAACCGGGCGGAACGAGGCATCGAAGTAGAAGAGTCCCGCTTGTTTATTCACTTTGAGGAAGTCGGCCACATCCACGTAGTTGGGTAAAGTGGCGCTGAGTCCGACCACGCGAATCAACGATTGTGTGCTTTCGACTTGTCGCTCCGTTCGGGCCACGAGGGACTCTAGTACGGCACCGCGTTCGTCATGCAACATGTGGACTTCGTCGATAACCAGGAGTCTGACTTTCTGGACGAGCTCGGTGTCTCCTGTGCCCTTTCTCGTTACCACATCCCACTTCTCGGGCGTTGTGACGATAATCTGCGTCTGTACAATCTCTGCTTTCGTCAGCTGCATGTCACCCGTGTACTCGCGGCACTTGATGCCCAGCCAAGCCAGGCGCTTTCCGAGCTTTTCAGTAATCTCGGCTGCCAAAGCCTTCATAGGGGCGACATAAACAATCTTGAAGTCATCCGCCTGCACAGCAAACTCGGTGGCGGTCATGTCTTCCATTGGGTTGGGAGTAAGATATTGGCCAATAGTGTGCAATATCGTCAGCATAGCAGCATCAGTTTTACCCTTGGAAAAAGATTGTCAATAATTTCTCTCGAAAATTGGACACACATGGTTATCCAGAACGGAGTGTCTAACTTACAGCACCAGTTGGGGCGCAGATGAGCATGTTCTCGTGAGTCTTGTAGGCAACAGGAAACACCAAACTCTGCATGCGGTTCAGATTCTGGTAGTTTTTGAACGTGGTTCGACAAAGGCCATCAAGGCCAGATATCTCAACTAGCTTCTGGCCAGGTCCAAGGGTTCCTTTCCGTCCCGCAGGAACGAAATACTCCTCGTACTTGTCGAATTGAAGATGCTCACTCCCCGCGGGCAAGCCATACTTTCGTCCAGAGTGGCTCAGGGTGTTTCCAGCATGGTAGGATTTGTAGACATGGGGGTAGTGTACTTCCCGAGTCTGACTTGCTGCGATGGAAGCCGACTTATGCTCGAGATCCTGTCGACGAAGAGCACTTTCACGCTCAGCCTTGGAGAGGATACGGCCGCCCGAAGGCTCCTCCTTCTGACGGGTGGAGGCAATGATTTCATCCTTGTGGCCTAGGATTTCAATGATGAAGTCGAGGTCATCATAGCCGACCAGGTCGGTGAGGTGTATCTGCAGCTCATCGGGAGATCCCCCGCCGGAGAGAAGGCTCACAACCTGATTCTGGAAAACATCGGCAGAGAGCCCATTTTTGGAGGCTATCTCGAAGCACTTGGTTTCGAACCAGTCCGAACCGAGATCGCTAATTCCGGGTACCCCATCGGCCTCGGCGAAATCACTTTCATCATCTTCCTCCCCATCATCACTGATGAAATCCCAGACATCTTGGCCAGTGGCACTCGAAGAATAGCCTTCAAAGTCGGTCTCATCGAACTCGTCGCTGTTTGAGGCTTGTGAGGGGAGTTTTAATTCAGCCAGGGCGGCTTTCATAGCCTCGAACTGCTCTCTCCATTGCGCTTCAATGGCGCTGGGGTCATTGGCTGCCATCTGAGTGAGGTTTTGGATGAGCTAAATAGGCCGGCAAGGGTCGTCTCTTTCGGTTGTGAGATGCGTGGTAACAAATTACTCAGTGGTGATTTTGGTATGATGAAAATATATTCAAGTTTTGGGGAGGCAGCTGTCCTCCTTTTTACCCCTAGTGGGTGTTCTGAGTTGAGATGCTCAAAATGACGACCGAAGAGTCATCCGGCAGCTCAATGACTGACTCCGCAACCAAACTGGAGTTAGGCGTGCCCCATCCACCAGCCTCTAAGCTTACCGCAGTGGAGCCTGGACTTCTCAGCAGCCATGCAGGCAATCAATTGCAATGATGATAACACCAATAATCATAATGTTTGGCCCACGACCAGTAACAGGTACAAGCAATATCGTACATCTCCCAACGGCAACGGGCTGTGAACGGGAGCCGTCTCCAGCCAGGTCAAGCCGGACTGTTAGGTGAAACCGAAGGTCCACCGCGACTGCCACCGCATAATGCCAACTTCCCTAGCAGCATCCAAGTATCAATCGTTACAGGGGGCATGTGATGGATGGCACTGGATAGCGCGCCACCTGGACGAACTCTGGCTGGTGGCGGTGGGCAGCCTGCAGCCTTCAATTCTTCACCCGCTCCCACTACGTAAACCTCCAGGCTCCAATCCAAAAGACATCCAGCACACACCACTCGGCTGGCACTGGTACTCGGGCACAAGATCTCTTCCTTCAACCCTCGCCTCGTCGCTGTCCTTGTCCTTGCCGCCAGACATCCGTCGCCCCTTCGCAGAACCCACCGCCACCATGAAGCTCCTTTACATCGGTGTATGTCCCCAAACTCCGTCCTCACCCCTCCGCTCCCGCCTCCGCAGTGCGGTAAACTTTTGACGTCTCTATTCCATTCTGCTGACAGCCCATTGCCCTCTGCAGATCATCCGTAACGACTCCCAGCCCGCTCACGAGATCGTCGCCGAAAAGGAACTCAGCGCCTACTCGCGCTTCACCCGCAACAAGTTCGTCCACCTCTAGTGCCCATCACCCTCCTCCTCCTCCGCCACCACCACTACGACCACCACGCCTTGCGCCGTCCTCCCCCCCCCCAACAAGATCATCTACTGATCACACAGAATCCCTCCAGCTATGGCGAATTCATGAGCTTCACCGCCAAGACCGTCGCCGAGCGGACCCGCGCCGGCCAGCGCCAGGACGTCGAGGAGCAGGACTACACATTCCACGCCTACGGCCGCAGCGAGGGCGTCTGCGGCATCATCATCTCCGACCAGCAGTACCCCGCCCTCGTCGCCCACCAGCTCCTCAGCAAGGTCGTCGACGAGTTCCTCGTCAAGAACCCCCGCTCCGCCTGGGCCACCGGCACCCCGTCCATCCTCTTCCCCGAGCTCAAGGAGTACCTCGCCAAGTACCAGGACCCCGAGCAGGCCGACAGCATCCTCAAGATCCAGAAGGAGCTCGACGAAACCAAGATCGTCCTCCACAAGACCATCGAGAGCGTGCTGCAGCGCGGGGAGAAGATCGAGGACCTCGTCACCAAGAGTGACGGGCTCAGCGCCCAGAGCAAGATGTTTTACCGTACGGTCCTGTCCTTTCTCAACCCCTCTCCCGTTTCTTCTATGTTGGGTATTTGCAGCATGACTAACCCTGAGGATGTAGAGCAAGCGAAGAAGCAGAACTCGTGCTGTGTGCTAATGTAGCTTGATCCTTCTTCCTCTTTTCTGGCGTTGGATACGGCTTTTTTTGGTTCCACCATCCGGGATGTTCTTTTTAGTTTTAAAGCCGGGACACATTAGTTACCGAGGCGGCGTGTAATTCCTCATTCGTTATTGTTGCTACGTTGATATTGACTTTGGCATGGCAACTCGATGCAACCTGACACTTGAAATGACTGATAGATGCAAGTAGAAAACGTCATCGGATAATGAGCCTTTTGAACCTTTATTTCAATCTAACTTGTTCCCTGACAAGTGTTGTCTCTTTTTTTTGGGTGACTTTGCCTATCTATTGAATGTACGAGTCCGAATCCTCGCCTCTCTAAATTACGCCTGCGCCTTCCGTCCATCAATGCGGTGTGGTATCTCCGTATGCCCTATCGTGGTAAAGTAACAGAAGTGTCGAACAAAGAAAAGAAAATGGCTCGAAGTATCCAGCATGCCATCCGGTTTCAAACCTGCCTCGATCCCGCGAGGAAATTGGGATCAGAATATAATAATAAGACATATATAGGGTCGAAGAGTAAAGTAAAGAAAAGTTGGAAGAAGTTGCCCAAAAAGATAAAATCAGGCCTCGCGCTGTGAATCGGGCCAACTCCTTTCCTCGCTATGTCCTGCCAGACAATACGCCCATTATGTGTGAACAAAGTAAATGGAAAGCAGAAACTCGCCTTTTATGCTCCTTCAAGGATAACGAGCTCACTCTTCCTGTTTCGGTAAAAATAGCTGGGCGAAGCATCCTCCGGCTCAGGGCCGGGGGTGATAATGACTGGTGTCGCCTTCTTGGTTTCGGCAACTCGTTCGTGTTTCCCGGTGGCGATCTCCTGGATGGTGAGAGGTTTAGCCTTGGGAGGACTCGAACTTTTGTAGCCTTGGCTGTGGTAAGGCTTGAGCATATCTCGTTGCTCGCGGGAGAGGCTGATTTGTCGCGTAATCGAGGCCTTGACAGCCTCTCTGAGGGCACGCTCATTGTGGACATCATCTTCTTCAGGCTTCTTAGCCTCCGCCGCATGTGGCCTCTCCATGACTGGTGAGGTCGTTTCTTTCTTAGGAGTGCTGGAATTCGAGGATGCCGTTGATGCAGGGGGTGTGATCACGCCCCGTGTCATGTCTTTGTTGGGCTGAGGAAGTGGCTTGTTCACATCTGGAGCTGGGGACCCGCCCGAATTCCTGGGTGAAGTCCCAAAGGTCGGCTTCGACTCCATTTCCGGGGTGAATCCTTGAAACCTGGAGGCTAGGGGATGTTTTCGTTGTGAAAGTGCCGGCGCGGGGGTCCTATCTGGCCTTGTCTTGATGGGGGATGTCCTCTTCTCATCCGCAACCTTGCCTGGTGAAAGTTTTGCCTCAATTCCGATCCTAGCAGGTGAAAAACTATTGGCGTCACGGGTTTTTACTGGGGATCCGCTCAACTCATGTACAGTTGGACCCGGTGACGCCTTGACGGGCTGTGGCTTTTGTGCTGTAGACACTTTGGGGCCCATATGTGTCCTGCCCGGGCCTCGGTGCTCGTTTCGTTCATGAGCTTTCGCTGCTTGAGACCCAAAAGGCAGCCCATTTGTAAGGAGGATAGGCGATATAGACTGAGGAGTCATGGGTCTTGAGGGGGCAGGAAACAGGTTGAAGGTTGGGGAGGCTTTTATTTGTGGTGAAGTCGCTCTTCGTGGACGTTGTAGTTCAGGAAGCTGCCCGTTTTGCATACTTTTTTCCTCCATGGTTTTCAGTTTGCGCAACGACGCTTGTCGCCGCGTTAGTAATGAAGACGCTGACAAGTCATGGGATATCTGCGTTTGCTGTGGACGTCGGGGATTAGCTTGATTATTAGGCCTTTGCTCTCTTGGGCGCTCAGAAGCTGCCGGTAGTTCATGGCGTTCCGTCGGTATTGGACGTGCCCGTGCATGATTCGGAGGTTGCTCGGATCGGCTATTTTGACGAGCACGGGGTTCTTGTGGCCCAGAGGCCAATTCGGGCCACCGATCTAGCTCGGGCCTGTCCTGCGGTTTCGGTTCCTGCGGTCTAAGTTCCTGCACCTTGCCGTCTTGCGGCTGGGGTTCCCGGGTGTTCGTTTCCTGTGTTCGTAAATGAGTAATCCCAAGACCTTGCGGCGTTGGGGCTTGTGCCACTTTGGGGGGAACCTGCGGCTTAAGGAGGTCCCCGAACATAACACTGTAGCGTTCCATTGTGATGTCTGGGATGTCAACGTCGAGCAGACGGCCCCCCGAAGATGCAGTCTGGTTCGGGGGAGCCATCCCGAGCCTCTGCATATAATGCTGTCGCATCGCTTGGGCATCCGGCGGCCTGCTCTGCGGCGGCCCTCGATTCGGTTGTGGCGTTTGTCTCTCGATTCCACGGCCAGCACTGGGTGGTTCCGTTTGTGAGCGAATGACAATCGGCTGGTGTCTTGGAGTAGTACGGTTTGCGCTCGAGTCGCTTCGGCCAACGCCACCTCCAGGGAACGAAGCTCCAGGCTTCATAACATCGAAGGGCCCTGGGCCGACGGGAGCCGTGGCGGCGTGGTTCAGAGGATGTGGATAGTTGTTCCCCCTCTTGGATTTTGATCGGAAAATGCCCCATTTCTTCGCTTTGGCCTTGGAAGGGTCGTCCGTGTGTTCCTGAACTTCGATTATTGGTGCTTGCGCCGAAGCTGGAGTTGAGCCCGGAGTCCACGCTGCGAGGGACGACGAACTCAGGGCTGGGGTCTGGCCATTTTCGAGTCGGGGCGTTGGCGACGATCTCGTAGATCCCAAAGGCGACTGGAGGTGACTGAGGGGCGACTTGTTAAGTCCTAGTGGTGACTGCTTATGTCCAGGCTGTGACGGTCTTCTGAAATTCATGGGCGATAGCGAGTGCCCAGAGTGAGGGTGAGCTGGACTTCCCAGGGCCATACCGATGGCGACAGGATCTTGACCTCCTGGGTGAACTGGATGATTTGAGGTTGAGTTGGATGAAACTCCAGGGCCAGCTGGGGGGTTTCTGTTGGAGCGAGAACCAAAGTCTTGGGTGGGGGAGGTGCTTCGGATCGGGACGTGAAAGGGCTTGAAACTCTGTTTCTGGGAAGTCATGGTCATCAGGTAGAGATCATCGCGCGACTTGCGCTTATCGTATTCGGGCTTCCGAGAGACCAGATTTGTGCCAGAGCTGCTACGCGGCCGAAACGCAGGAGTCGGCATTGGTGTTGATCGCGGGGCCATGATGGCTGGGCGAGCCTAGTCCTCGCAGGCTGTGGCATACATACGACGAGACGAAGTCTGTGAGCGACAGCGAGCGAGCAGAAACGGGAAAGGCTCTAGCTAGTGAGGGTATGGTCTGGCGCCGTGTGTCGTGTTTCTAGTCGTGAGAGAGTGAGAGATGGGACGGATACGAACGATTTAGCCTGGTATGCGGTGAGCACCTCCAGACGGATGCTCGATCCGCCAGTCTCTCACTCTGCCAAACTGTCCCTGTTCCACCACAGGAGCCATCGTTCTCCACGGCGGCCCTGTCCTGGTACTGCGACCATACTGAGAGTTGACCGAAGGTCCCTCCATGCTGTACCCTGGAAAGATCACACACACCTGGCAAATGGCATGGGTGAGGGGCTGTGGACCAGCCAAGGCTGTGCCGTTGAAGACGATGGATGGCCAGTGCATGTTTCAAGTTGGATTGGAGGACCGGGATGGCATGTTACAAGCCTGCTTGTCTGGTTCGCAAACTTGGCCTAGTAATAACAGGGGCCCTGCATGGGAGGCACCTTATTTCCCGATGGCTGATATGCCCTTGGCCAGGGCCTGGGGTCCGTCCTCGTCATTGCTCGTCGCTGCAGGCACCCGCTTGATCGATGGCCGGGATTGCAGGTTGGTACAGCCGCCGGCCAGCAATGCGAAGAAGCGCACTGACAGATGATTGAGAGGATGCGCATACCCACAACGGAGGCATCATAGTGCCTACTGCGATTCAAAGTAAAGGAACCGGGATGGACGGGTGGCCACACTGCCGAGCCGGTTTGACAAAGAAGGAACGAAGAAGGAACTATCCCTCCGGCCATGTACATTCTGTACCTGAGTCTATTAATATCTTGTTGGTCGCCCAGAGGTGCACTTGGTAGATCTGATTGGAGAGGCTGTAGGTAAGCACGGTAATGCACCGCTCCCACGGTAAGTGAGGTAAGCAGTGCCCAAGTAGGACGAGTCAGTGTGATATCAATGCCATCCGAGCCCAAAGCGTGCCGCGAATAGGTGGGAGAAGGAACGCGGTGATTAGAGCTAATAAATTAATTCCCGGCTTGCGCAGTGCGACATCTCTACTCGTACGCCTAGAGATGGGCGGCGGGGTTTCATGATTCGCCAGAACCAACAAGGGACCGGGCTCCAGAGCCCTGGAATCTGCAGCAACTCCCAGACCTGCCAGTGCCTGTTCCAGGGGGCAAGCCGAGCCCCCCCCTACTTGGGAAGCAACCAAGCGAGTGTCGAAGTAAATGAAGGGCTCTACGGCCATGTTTGAGGTGGTCGTTGGAGACAGCCAGCGCGGGACCAATTGCTATGCGCATTGAGTTGAGCTGCTTTAGCTCGCAGAAGCCATCGCCACCAGGATTGCCCTAAGACCTAGAGGGGTGCTAATACCGAGACGCCTTTACCGCTAACAGGCTAGGAGCGGCCCATTCTGCCGGCGAGCAACAATCTGCGCCGGCTCTTAGCATGTCTAGTGGCCTAACAAGCAGCTGGGGGGGGACCCCTAGGGGCCTTGGCAGTTGGGTTGGGGGCCTCCCCCGGACCACACCAGGCCACTTTAGGGGCGGATGATGGCATACCAGATGCGCTGCCAGGATGCATTCTGGAAGTGGAAGCACCTTGGATATTGGGTAAAAGCCAATCTTCGATGGATGGACATATTACATCTGCGCCGGTTCCGCTGAAATGTGACCCAAGACGCAGCCAGACTGCCGGAGGCGAGTAAGCCTGCCAAATGAGCGTAGTAATACATCCATTCTGATCATCTACAGTCTGCGGTCTTGGACGAGTAAGATCGCGTGCAATAATCACACATGACGCGCGCGGTCCAAAAAAAGCCGCGCATCTCTTTAATTACTTGGCAGGGAAGCGTGCGGCTCAGGTCAGAAGGATCACGTACATTAATCTCGTGAGCCCAAGGCGAGCAGCGAATCACCATCCAGAGGCTAAGACACTGTTTCATCCTTCTAGAACAACAGTAAAAGAAACTAACGGCTTCCGACTTGCTTAGTCTTGAGCCAAGCTGCAGTCTGCAATGCGAACCATGACTGCCGCTTCCTATTGGCTTTGGAGATCGGCATACGCTGAGTTCGTATTGACTGCTCTATCTGCATGATTGGCTGTTAGGCCCGGAACGACTTCACCAATTCGCTTTCAGAGAGCAGGAGGTGGTTCAGCCGCGCCAATATAGGCAATAATACGACCAAACAATTCATGCAAGTGCCTAGCCTCTTAGCCCAGTGCGAGAACACTGGGCAGCCATCTTAGATTACCTATTTTATGGCTCCTTATTCAAGATAACCAATACGCAGCTCCACAAGGCTGCGCAAACCACCAAGTTCGTCGATCGTGTTGTTGACATGCAAGGTTTGGCCAACGAGATAAATTCATCCTTGGGTATAGTTCCTCCCATGATGCTTGTCTACCTGAAAGGGCCGTTTCAGGCCATTACTATTGGATAGCCCAGACGTCACCTCCAAATCACCGTATAACACCGGCAGTTATGTGCCATTGGGGGCCACTCCGTGCATGGGTTCTGTTACAACTCAGCTCGTATATGCCCAGCGACGAGAGATTCTGCTATCCAGTGGATACATTTACATTCTGAGACTGATTCTGTGTCCGTCCCTGTAAAATTGATAATGATGTTAGGTTCTACCTCAATGCTAGTTGCAGAGCATTGGCTGGGTACCATGAGGACAGAAAGACTGATACCATCACAGTGCTTGCTCGTATGAACCATTCGATATTCCTCATTCTCTATCTAAGCCATATTGTCGGCATTCTTCCTCACTACCGCAAGGGTCCAGATAGTTAAGCAGGTGTTGCCTTGCTCCATGTCTAAATCTGTCCAGACTTTTCGGATTTCTTCCGGGCCTTCTCTATGCGTTCAAGCTCCCTATCGATCCTCTTGAAGCTCCAGCTCCTCCAGAAGGATGGATCTGCATCTCAATTAGTAACCTTAAATGCGAAACATTAGTGTTTGATCGATAAAGGGCGTTCACTAACAGAGAAATGGCCTCAAATCTAGGTTCCAATTAGTTATATTATAAAATTACAAGATTTCTTTGTTCACTTACCGAAGCGGTTATCCTCGGGGGAGTAATCATTGCTGTGCCTGTTAGTACGTTCGTTCACAAAAGGTTCCTCGAGGCTATCCATACCAGTGCACTATAGAATGTTAGCACTTGATCAATAAAAAATAATTCTTCAAGGCCATCACAAGAAGGTTTTAATGAGGGTAGGAAGGCTGAATCAGGGATAAATGGTCTGGCTCTCGCACGCAGATGAAGACCAAGGGGTCAAGTGCTGCAAGCTTAAAGAGGGAACTTCGACATATTTGCGAAAGCAACTTACAAGCAGGTGTCAGTGTAGTAGCCTTGTGTCGTGTAATTGCACTATATCCCAGGTTAGCCAACTCGACTTTTGTCGTTCCTCACGAAAGTTGCTTGGTCATCTTTCTAGGCCTAAATCTGCCAACGTCGTGGACGAGCTGAAGGCGACTGGGACGGCCGCTTTGAAGAACAAGGAGAAAGCATATTTGGGGGTTAGCGTACTATTGTGCGAAGAAAAACTTCACTTTGTAGGCAATTTCTGCCGGCTCAAGAGAAACCTCCTGTTTTTCAGATCCCTCTTGTTGATCCTTGCCCCAGACATGAACGAGATGTTGGAACATTGACAGAGGGCCCATCTTTCTCTCCTTACGAAGACGACCTGCTTTCGTCAGATGATTGATCTTTAGACAATATGGGTATGTAGGTATCTTACCGAAGACATTCAATTCAGCGTATGTCATTCCCATATCCGCTTCATCCGACTGCACATAATCCTCGGTAATGGGCTCAAGCTCGGCGGTAGGAGTCGCCGTAACGAAGTCGTCAAGGCATGGGATCTCGAAATGGACCTGAGCCCAAGAAATGAAACGCTTGAGGTCTGCCTTGTCAATAGATCCAATCGGGTTGATATCCGCCGAAGAGCAATCGTATTTGGTGAGATAACCCCTCAAAGCTAATTCGAAATGAGCTGAATCCTGATCCCTAGATTTTTTGTTCTATGTAAACTTACCCTCGCCGACGTTGGCACTGCCAAGAACCAGTAGGCCGCCTCCGCCGGCCAGCTGTCGAGTCGTTGGGAGGATCTGGGCGAATTCATATGCCGTCTGCTTGATAGTGAGAAAAGCCAAAGTGAGCTGGTCATGGTTTCGATCTTACCACCATACGTGTGCGAGCCTGGATGTTCTGCAGCATAAGGTTCTCTGCCGGTGTACCACCCTCCACCTTGAACTTTGCCTCAAAGCCGAGCGCATCTTTGACGAGGTTCTTCTGAGCATGGTATACTGAATCGATATCAAGATTGACATGGTAGGACCCGATGGCTGCCGATAGATCCTTTGCGCGCTGGCGAGTCTCATGGGAGCTTTGCTGTGACATTCCCATGTAGATTGTGTGAAGAACGCGGTTGCACAGCTCATGGGGAGTCTTGGGAAGAGGAGCCTCACCAAACAAGCGTTTAACTACAGCAATGACTGACTGATTGCCATCTTCAATCGCGGAGATGACGAGTCGACACATCGAGAAGACCGAGACAGCTATGAGAAACTGTCAGTGAATCTACTCTGCTGCCAATCCTGGAGCCTGAAACTGGATAAGACTCACTTGTAGCACATGAGTCTAAGCCTCCTGATAAGGGAGTGAGACTATCAACAACTATTAGCCCACAAAATGCTTGAATGATCATGGGGCTTTGAGGCACTCACTATCCTGTAGAACCGCTCCTCGCCAGATAATCCCAGAGGTAACAACCAGCACACTATAGACTAAGTCAGCGGTGAATTACAGTTAGCCAAGCCAGTTTAGGGGCCACATACGAGTGCCACTTCCTCCTCGACAGAGTGGAATTTCAATTCCCGTGGTAGAGTTGGTCGGCGATGAGTGTCCAAATCATCCTCATCAGGGCTGAGCTCA